AGTTCGCCAACTCGTCTTCGATCCTGTACTTACTGGTGACAATTATAAAATTATTTCCAAACTAGCTGTCATATTCACCTTAGAGGCAGTTAGAGAACCAGCTACTGCTAAGAAGTATAAACATTCGGCTGTATCTTTATTTCAGCACTTTGCAGCATCAATATTTGTCAAAGATATAAGGTAAAAATGTTTTATCTGAAAATCAATATCTATTGAAAATAGTATAATAATAAATTATCTCGTCTTTAGAATTACTCTGTATTATTTAACGTCCATTCTCGAGAATGAAGAAGCTGTTCAAAATTTGAAAAAGGAAATTCCGAATTTTGATACTATTCTTATCCAAGTTTGTACCAATTTGCTTTGTCATTACACATTGCAAAGCGATTAGAAGAGAGTTAATAAAATATATGTTTCAGGCTTGGATAAAATGTTCCATTGTTGGTTACAATGTAAGCAAGGAAGATATAAGGATTCTGCAAAATTACATTATCAATCTTAATGAGATTAAAGAAATATTTGTGTCGGATTATGATATGTACGAATTTAAGAACAGTGACGAACCTATTTTGACATTCATAATATCATTCATGAAGAAATTAAATACTTTAAAGGTATTAATTTTATGAATCCAACATGCTCGTTCAATCCAGAAAGAAATTAATACAACTGAAAAATTTTACAGTCTGAGCAAGAAAAGCATCAGTACAACGCGAAATGTAAAACATATTTCAAGAATTTAGAGAAGTGGGTCATGATACCTATAACTGAGGAAACAAAAGATTCGGAACTTGCATTTTGGATTTATAGATGTCTTGGTACACTGATTCTCTGCATTTCTCCAATGCTATATACTAAAGTAAATATTCTAAAGTATATGTAACTTAATCGCTGCTGAAATTTTTATATTCTAAAAGAAATGTCTTCACAGAATCAACCAAACGATATGTTAAGAACACTCATCAATAAAATTATATTGGTACCAGAGAATTCTACGCAGTCGTATATAAAGCAATTGGGAAAGAAGATATTCTCAATGATAATGCTCGGACTGGAGAAATTGAATGTCAAAAGCGATATATTATTGCAAGCATTGATCCGAGATATCTTCGATCAATACTTGCCGATTCTGATAGTTGAAGTCAACAGCGGTTGCAGTTTTAAGGTGTCTGATATGTTGCTGAAATGCTTTAAGGATGTAAAGAACGAATTTCTACGTACGATTTTTGAAATGTTGATGTCAAACTTTTATAATATATCATCCGACAACGTCTTGCACAAACACTCCAACTTGGTATGCAATCGTATAATAATTTGTTCAGTGTCACAGTGTGTCGCAAATATATTTATTACACATTCACACAGATAACTTGGCTTATAAAAACATTGCTTAAAGAAGGAAGAAAGTATCCCAAATATATTACGGAATATATTATCCAAATTTGTTCCCCGAGCATCTTTGGATGTTACATGAAGATTCATGATCACCATCCACACAAACTACACACAATTGATTTTATCAATGATATAATAAAAAATCCTTATTACGAGGAAGATAAATTCATCAGGTGAATAAATATCGATATATATTATATTTAAAATTTCAAAAAATATATATATATATAATATATAATTTATAATCAATCCTTGGCTTTTCAGGGAAAAATTCCAGACTGCTATTTCTGCTACAGTGCAAAAATATTTGATGACAAATACGCAATTTACATTTGAGTTCATACGATCTATTTTGTCGATAAAAAAAAGTATTATAATCAATATATTTCCGCAAATTGAAGCTATTATACTTTATGCTGAACAATATAATCGACCCAATGCAGCATCCTTGAGGTAAGAACAATTATAAATCTTTAAATTATAAATAATTTTTATGTTTATGTAGCATTATGTTAGATTGAAATTTATAATTTCAGATTCATGTCGAATCAACTAAAAAAACATATGCTGAACATGGATAATAATTCGTGACAGAATCAAAAAAATATATTAATAATTTAATAAGCGCTAAATATTCTAAATAATATTGAATTTAGATTCTTTAAAACTTTCAGACTAATCATTGGGTATTAATTAAAAAGAGTTTGATCTCAATGCACATGTAACTATTTCAATATACATAAATGCATAAATTAGATTAAGTTCATATCAAGTTAAGATACATAGTACAAGTTGATGAAATTATCATTATATTTATAATTCAATTTTGATTAAAATAAGTATATAAAGTGTATATAAAGTAAATTATTGTCTCGTATATTAAAGATACCACAAATAATTAAATATAATACACACATAAACTCACTCATAAATAACTGGCAATCATCGGTCTTATTGTAAGATATAACGTGGAATTTTTTTACAAACCGCTAAAAACAACACACCTAAACTTTTCCTCGCTACTTTCGATGTGAATGCCTCGAACGATGTTTCAACGACGCACTGGTTGTATTGCCCGGAGGCGATCGTCATCCAACTAATTCGAGACGAGACACAGCACTACGTACGGCGTTACGTAGACTTTGCTCAGCGTTGCTGCTTAATAGAGACTCTAGCCTCTCGAAATAACTGTCGATATTTTGTAACGTAGCACCGTCGTGTGTGCCTATAAAAAATTAAATACTTATACAAATAAAATGTCGAGCTGACACGTGATCAGTGATAGAATTTTTTGTGGAAACTCGCCTGGAAGCGGTATAGTGGCGAAGCACCCTGCTAGTTGAGAACGAAGAGAATCCAAATGACGCTGCAGAGCTTGATTAGTCGTTCGTTGTTGATTAGTTTCGGACTCCAAGCGACTCACCGCTGCGTGCAGACTGTCCACGTGTCGCTGAAGAACTGCGTTTTGAGCTTCGTAGTCAGATGTAGCTTTCCGCAATTGTCTTAATTCAGCCTCACAAGCTACGCAGATATTTTAATTATTTTAAAATTTGTCCATTTCATTATATTTTACTGATTAGTTGTAATTCCGATAACTTATTTACCTTTGTTATGATCTAGAAATTCTTCTGTAAAAATAGGGATGTCAAAGCCTGTAAAGTCATTGTCCTTATCCTGCTGAACGTCCTAAATAAGAAGTTTCCATTAACGTTATGATCGATTAGACACAATCTTAAATATAGTAATATCATCGTACATTCTGTTCGGTATTTATGTCCGTGCCGTTTCTTTCCTTTTTATTTTCATTTTGTCTCTCCGATTGTTTTTCATTAAATAGCCTGTATGCTTCTGTTTGCTTATAATCGCTAAACTCGCGATTGTAGCGTTCTTTGTCTTGTTCAGCTGCATCCAAATAACGCTAAAAGTATTTATCATTAATATTAGAGAGATAAATAAGATACAGCAAGAAAGTAACAAACCTGCTTCTGATCAATTGGCAATTTACTCCATTCTGCAGCCAAAAGCTTCGTGATTTCTGTGAACGTTAAGCTTGGATTCTGATTTCGAACTTTCTCTCTCCGATCGTTTAAGAACCTGTATACACATTGTATATTTCGTTATAGACAGAATATTTTAACTTATATTAAAGTACTTGTATATTCGATTATTACAGAAAGTAACCACTCAGAGGCTGTCTTGGCGCAGTGGCGTCTCTCGGGGCTTTTTTACGTTTCTTTGTTCTATTTGGCGTATTACCAGTGGCGGTGGCACTCCTCTTTACACCATTATCACACACTGAATCTGGTGCTTTCTCTTCTGTACTCACTGGCGATTTGGCTAATGAAACAGAAAGGATCAGCAATTAATTTATCAATTAATATCTATATTATTTTTATGTAGAATTTTTTGTTTAATGCACAGAAAGATTAGATGAATTAGTGATTCAATGAATCATGTATGAATTATAAATTTTGCTATAAGTTGTTTTATCAGTTAAATTATGTTATTCAAAATCATACTAATGTTTGTTTCTATAGTAGATTAACTTTAATCTCAGTTCAATTTAACCTTCATCTTTTTCTAACTCTTAAAATTTGCCCATTTGTACCAATGTAGTTTAATTTCAATCAGTTTAACTAACTCTTCATCTTTTCCTAGTTCTAAGGATTAGAAAAAGATGAAGATAAATTGTACTGAGATTAAATTTGATCTACATTGGTAGAAATAGGCATTAGAACTAGAAAAAATTAAGAGTAAGTTGAATCAAGATGAAATTTACTTTACATTGGTGAAAGTAATCATAAACATCATAAATATGATAAGTAAACTTACCAGCGTGTTCTTCCGTTTCACCATTATAAGCAGGCTGCTCCATTGTACCATTACTCTCAGGTACATCATTTATTGGAGTAGTCTCACTCATTTTTCGCGATATGTTCCTCCGGTGCTGGTCAGCATAAAATTACCCTGGCGATTTCAGACTATATATCCATCATACATTCGCAGCTGGGATCTCTCTCAGCAGGGATCATACTTTTACACTCTGTAATAGTACAAAATTATTTAGACGCGTGTAAAATACTGTTATTCAATACGATACGTACTTACCAGTACCTGAAGAATTGAGCAATACGTCAAACAAACAAACTGTTAAGGAATTGATTTGCGTTAAGTCGTGAAAAATTTGCTTGTCACTCTGCCCACTGCAAGGTTATTTTGTGGGAACTAATCAGAATTAATGGAAACTTAATTACCATCACTGCTTGCGACGAGATTTTACGTGGCGCGCTATCACGCTTGTTTGTTCGTTCGAGTCTTTTTTTCTTTCCTTTCGGATATCGTCCTCGACTATCCTCGACTCGGTCGATCGCAAGAACTCGAGAGTCAATCGCTCGGCGTCGAAAGGTGCCCAGTGATAACCGCTTTCGGGACTTCCGGGAGTTCCGGGTGGAACGCCACGCCACACGTCTAGATATTCGTGCACCGTGCCCGCGCCCCGCGCTGGTTCGTTGCTTTGAGCCGTGTGGCATCTGGCATGGGAGTGAAGGGGGGTGGAGGGGACGCTGTTTCGGAGTTGCCGGGCTGTTTCAGGCTGTCTGGTGTCTGGAACTGTCAGGTGGATGTTTCTGGGTGAAATCCTTTATTTTTTCATCTCGTAGTAACTTAGACTCGGCCGCGGCAGGATGGAGTGCATTTACCGGTTACCGTTCTTAATCTTGGAAGTGCCTAACTTAAAACTAAAGAGACCGTCCTGGTTCGTGAAGCCTAGTGCTATGATAGTCTTCTCCTTCATACTGCTATCGTACTTCTTGGTGACAGGAGGTTAGTTAGTCGTCAATTCTTTCGATTTATTTATTATTATTGCGTTATAAAATATATAATTTATACACAATAATATTAAATTATTTTATATAATATTTTACAATACAATTTTATTTTATTTTATACATTTATTTATTGCTAATCCGTTATAAAATATTTACGTATATAATTTACCTAGCAATACTATATGTTGTTTTATATAATTTAATATGTTTTCTCTCTGTCTCCATTATTATTTTATACAATTAAATATAATATATTATAATGCTTCTAATACTGTTTATCATTTATGTCCAGTTTTATATGATTATATCTTATAGGAATTATATACGATGTAATTGTTGAGCCACCCAGCGTAGGATCTACGACAGATGAGCATGGTCACACGAGACCCGTAAGATTATTGTTGAGAAAACTTTTATTCTCCAGTAATTAGCTTCTTTAATGTAAACCAGTGATTCTTATAGGTAGCATTTATGCCTTATCGCGTAAATGGACAGTATATCATGGAAGGTTTAGCCTCCAGTTTCTTGTTCACGATGGGAGGATTGGGCTTCATCATATTAGATCAAACGCATGGTCCGTCAACGCCAAAACTTAACAGAGTTCTCTTGATCTGTGTTGGATTCCTTAGCATACTTGTATCATTTACTGCATGTTGGATATTCATGAAGATGAAACTTCCGTAAGATATATTTATGGCTTTTGAGATAATTTCCATGTGTGCTATATTATTAGACAAATAATGATATTTATCTTTTTATTTTTAGTGGGTATCTACAGTCCTAAGTTATAAGCGATTGTGAATTGGGATATTATGATGAATCACCATTTTTATATCATATTGTATGAGATATCGTTACAATATACAGGACATTGTAACAGAGGATTGATGATTTTTGTAATAAAGTATAATATAAGCAAAACTGGATAGCTTTAGTATCATTTGTAACATAGAATAAGAGATGTTATATATCATTTTTACATATATATATTATAAATAAAATTATATAAAATGTATAACAATTGAAACAAAATTTTTAAATAATATATTTCAATATAGGTATTGTATTTTTAAATGCTTATTATAAATATAATTCTAAAAGTTCATAATAAAGATGAATTTTCTGTCTTCTGACTGAGTAATAGATACAAGTTGATAGTGACTTTAAGTTATCAAATTTGTGCATTCATTCAACTTCATTACATAAGATATAGCTTTCAAAAATACTGAATAACACTAATCTCAAAAGAAGAGATTTTTCTTTTCATTAAAAGAGTGTCATACATGTGTATCAATAATACCACTGTATGTTTGGCAGTTTTATATAGCATATTATACGATATTTTTAAATTGAGGAATCTAAAATTTCATAGTTACATCCGTTCCTTCTAATACAACCTCAAATAAATAAGCTCGGTCGAAAATAAAAAAAGATCATCATCTGACTTAGGCCAAATTATAGACCCTTGGCACATTCTGCAGTAGCGTCGATCGTATTTTTCTCTGTTCTGAATTAGGCCCAAGTCTTATAATTAAATTTCAATTAATATTCAGTCTTTCATTGGCATATTCGTTAATATGTTTATAAACGAATGCGAAAACTCCTGCAAAAAAATTTTTACATTATTAACGAAATAAGAAAAATTATGATTTTATAAGTATGATCTTGTGAAGCGCATCTTACTTAGAAAAATCACTGCTCTTCTCTATAATGTGTTCAAATTCAGCAAAGCTGAGCGCACCATCGTCATCTAAATCAGCCTCATCAAGGATATACTGAAGAAGCTGCTGCATATCACTGTCATTTAATCTTTGGGGTGCAGTTAATCTATCGACTACTTGCCGTAAATCTCCCACACCAAGCATATCATCGCCATCAAAATCTTCATAAATAAGACTTCGTTATTGAATTGAAGATATGATTTCAACATCGTGGACAATTAATTAATACCTGTACGCTTACCAAATATTCTAAATGCATGCTCAGCCTTCACAGCTTTCGGAGCAGCATCGCTAAACACAGACATCATATCCAGAAAATCTTCAAAAGTGCAATCACCATCCTGACTAGAGCTAAAGACTTTGCAGATCCTGTCGCCGAAAGGATTTACTCTCAACTCAGGATACTGCAAGATCTTGGACATTGGCAGCTTCGCGTTTTTGTTGTGTCCAACTTTTTCTGGAGCAAGCGCCTTGAATTTCTGATGTGCGCTGTTAAAGAAAACAAATATTTTATATATAATAATTAACAATCTGATTCAATATAATAAATTTTAATAAAATATGTGAGTATATATATATATATACTCAAATAAATGGAAATGTCAACACTGATAATACTCACTATAAGACTTCCTTCTTGGTGAAATATGTTAAATCCTATCAAGAAAAACACAATATTATTAAAAAATGTCAGAGCTAAAAATAAGCAAAAGCAAGAAAAAAAACAGTTTTACCTGATAATCCTGCAGCTCTTCTTCCGTAAACTGACTCTTTCCTGCACCCATCCTTGTGGAACAACCATATAATGTGTGTCAACAAATATCTTGCAATCGCTTCAATTATCCTTACAAAGAAACTCGGCCATCATTAATACAATTAATCAACATTATACACTGCTCACTAATTTGTGAGACGTATCCCACATTACTCTTATCACAGCTGTTTAATGATTTTGCTCACCAGTTAGAAAATTTTCTAAACTGACCTGTCGATTAATTACTTCGTAATTATTGAGTAAATAGATCGTTATATTGTCGAATGAACGTATCGCTCTTGCCCATATGTAATTTTACTTTTAAAGGGCACTGTTTATTGATCAGCGCGCCGGTGCAGCAGGTGCAGATTCATCGAACTTTAGCAGCTCCATTTATTTGCACTCTTTGCATTTGGAATGAGACACAAATATACATTCGATCTTTAGTAGAAGAAAGAAGCAGAAAGGAAAGTGGATAAAATGCGAAGAGACACATCGGCGAAGCGGTAAGGCGGAAATTGGCGGAACTTCTGAACCTTAAACACTTCTCAACGAAAAGTAACGAGAATCTTGGACGAACTGAAGTTTTCACCAGTTCTTAGACAAAAGACAAACAATGGTGACGGAAAAAATCGGAAAGATCTTCAAAGATGTCTACTACGATCAGTTCAAGTGGTGGGTTACGATTAATTACATTTTTTCTTTGAGAGATTGCAGAGCAGACTTGATGATACTTGGCAACCTTAACCTCTACTTGTGTTAGATTATTTCGTTTTAATTATTTCATTAATTATTTCTCGCAAAAAAGAATTATTATTATTTTTATTATTATTATTAGGTTTGTAACTGAAGGTTTGTAACTAGTATACACTTGTTGAACTTGTGTCCATTATGACCATTTTTATCAATTTAGGTTAACTTTAATCTTAGTTGAACTTATTTCTGTCTTTTTCTAGTTTTAAGAATTAAAAAAAGATAATAAATAAAATTAAGATTAAATTTAATAATGTATGTTAATATAAATAGATATATTAGAATCCAATTCCACCAGATTAGTTAGATTATTTTAATCTTGATTTAACTTACTCTTTATCTTTTTTTAATTCTTAGAATTAGAAAAAAATAAAGAGTAAATTTAATCGAGAAAATATTAACTTATTGTATCTGCAATTTCTGCAGCTTACATAAATATTTCACATTAACATTTGCCTTTTTTTATAGGTCAATGGTGAAGAACATTGCTTTCTTTATCGTTGGTGTTAAAATCGCCATTGAATGCAATGGGATGATGCTAATGCCACCAGTCTCCGTTTAAACTTATCATGAATCATAGGATCCAGAAAACTGTCTGAATGTTCTATCGATTTCTTGCGTTTCGTACACCGATTACAATCATTGTAGGAATACATTCAATTTTATCTGTATTATACAAAACTGTATATTTTGTATTTGAAACACATTTGTTAAAGAATTGTTAATAAATAATGTACAGTATTTGTTATTGCATTTGCGATTTAAGATGACTTTGACTTCTAATCAATCAATTATAATTTCTCATTTTACAAATATAAGAATAATTTTGATTAAATTTACTATTTATCTTTTTCTTATTTAGAATTAGATAAAAATAAAAAGTAAATTAAATCAAGATTAAAATTAATTTAGTAAAACCGAGTTTTAATTGATGATGACTGGCAGAATTGCTTGCAATAAAGTTTCAATGCAATAAAGAACTGCACAATTTATTGTCTTGAATCTTTCTTTTCATATATGAAAGGACAATAAGTAATTCTATTTACATTACTTTAGTTAATGACATTATTCAATTAATCGCCAGTTAAACTAATGTTCTTTTATTCTAGAAATTTGTTTTTGCACTTATATCGGCCGCTTAATTATCGATGTCTCGCCTTATCAATATTGCATATCGATAGTGAGGCAATCGATACAATTGGGGACGAATTTCTCTTCAATTAAATTATGATTTTAAATACTGAAAAAATTGCATTATATTGCGATATTTGCAATCATGAGAATCCATTTATAATTTGATGTAAAACAATATCTTGTAAGAAAAGAATAAATAAAATTTCTGATATCTGCACAAGAGTGCAGTTAACGTGCAGATAATTTTATTTATTATAATATTTTAAAGATTAAATTGCAATTTCCAACTCTTTAATAATTGTTGTACTTTTGTAAGAAATAATTTAAAAGAAGTCTCGAGGCAAATTTCTTCTAGGAGATGAAATATGATGAAATACAGATGTGTATTTGCACCGCGGATAAAGTGCAGTTGAGTTAACCAGAGAGGTTAATTTGCAATTTTGCAAGTTGTTAAGGGGAACCACCGCTGTAAAAAATGGATTGCATTAATTGCCTATAATGATAGAATAAATACTTTTGTCATTGCATGGGACGACGTGTGACGAGTGATCCTTCAAATTTAATGTCAATAAAAATATAAGATTTTAGAAATATAATATTTCTCGTCGGAACTTAGCATTTGATTTGTAAACATGAAGGAGGAACTAGAAGAGAATTATAATTCCGAGTTACCAGGTAGAAATATAAGCAATTAGAAGCAAATAAGTTTAAAATTATTTTGTCAGTTGAATAACATTTAATAAATGCTTGCTGTAAATGACCAAAATATAACCATTTTCAGCTGTGATCGGAGCCTTGTTAGACACCTTAAACGACAAGAGTCAGGACGTAAAACAGTCTGTGATCGAGTCGATTGAAAGAATAAGTAAGAAGAATCCAGAAGTTGTCATCCATGCTGCTATATATTTTTGGGAAATGCATAAAAAGGTTGATATTTAATATAATTTAATAATTTATATTATAGATTGCTTTTATGTATGATATGGTCATGATTGTTATATAATTGTTGCCATTCAAAGATATCCACAGAACACATGGGATCCTTGTTAAACATAATATCCAACATATGCAGACATTCAACTACAACTTTAAATGTAGATCTAGTAACATCTCTCGCTGAGGTGGCAGTGAATGAGTTAATAGGAGAGACTGAAAATGAGGCAGCCGAGTTGTTGATTGAGCTTTGCAAAATACACTGTATGCAAGCTACAGGTGGACTTCTAACTAAGTATGCCCTTTTGCAATTATAAATTAACTTATTTGTCATAAATATACTATAAAAGTTGAATAGAATACTGATCTGCTTTAATTTATTGATAATAGATAATTATATGACACATATTTATAGATTGGAACCTGGAGTGATTCCTAATCCTGCGATAGTTTTTACAATAGGAAAGCTCGCGGTAGCCAATCCATATGGAATGCTGTCCTTCGTTAAAATAACATTGACTATCATGTTACCGATGTTGAATCAAATACGTGAAGAAATTCTCAAACAGGCAATTTGCTTCAGTAAATATTCATATATTTTATCATACTCCTTTTAAGCTTAATGAAGCTCTGACAAATTTTTTTTATTTTTAGTGATTTCTAAGTTTTGCGAAGCTGTACACGATTATATAATGAATGGAGAAGACTCATCTCTGGGAATTAATAAGCAGACATTTGTAGAAGAAATTTGCTCTGTTTTTGATTTTTTAATAAACAACTGGTTGAAAACATCTCGTGATTCCAAATCAACAGAAGCTATTTTAACAACACTTGTGCCTATGGTACCTTTATTGCCTGTGCAGCAAGATAGTGAGAGAATTGTAAAATTGATACCCGTATGTTTAAATCTTTGTAGAAAGCAAAATGTACGTTTAGCTGCTGTAAGGTGAGTTTTATAATTTACAATAAGTTTATTTATTCACTGTATATTATATTAGATTTTAAATAGTTTACTAAATTTAATGAACGTTTATATATATCTTTTTTAACTAATATTATAACATTAACAGAGTTATAGCTATGATTTTAAGTTCTGTCGAGATTGAAAATGACAAAGAGGCAATTCGTGCATTTATGGAGATTATTCATCAAACTTTATTCGAATTTGTCAGTATTTGTCCTTTTGAAGCAGCTCGGGATGTAGTTCTTACACATTATGAAGTGCTGCAGTGCTCCAGATCGTTGGTTGTTTTGTATCCTGAAGAAGGTCTCGATAGGTAACTGATGTTTTCATATTTCATTAAATTATGAAATTGTGAGAGTTTTGATTGCTCATTTTTTACTTTCTTACAGAATCTTGCAACAGTTGAAATTACCAATTGCTCATCAACGTGCCCGTGCATTGGTAGTCCTTAGACATCTTATAAATACTCTTCCACCAGAGGTACAAAAATATGTAATTTTATTAATAAGTATGTCATAGTAAATATACATATTGTTTTATTAGGATGATGGGTCTCTGCAAAGAATTGCACTTAGCCTGCAGGAGTCTCTTGGAGAAAATGGTGCGCTCCAGATGGTTGGTGCTATAGTGGCACTTGCGGCACGGCCGACGTTTCCTTTATTGCCATCACAAAGGGCTAAATTTGTTCGTTATATGGTACGTAAACGATGTCGAAATTAAGAAAAAATTAGAGAAAAATAATTGAGAAATTAACTTTGTCTTAAAATAGGTGTCACACTGCGAAATAAAGAGTGACGATATGGAAGCATGTTCCGAAGCTTTATATCTGCTCGCAACGACAGTTGATGGTGTCGAATCTTGGCTATGGCCGTGTTTGATAAGTGCATTGCTGGATTCGGCTTGCGTAGCATCCGTAAATAACAATTCTCTTTACCTAAGATATTTATGATATTTATGATATATTAAATTTAATTTAATTATTACTCTTTTTTTGTTGGTAGGTCACATCTGTGCTACGTTCATTGTCTCCATTAGCGACAAAAATAATACGTGATAAAAACTCTTCAACAAATGAGAGGGATTTCCCTGGTACAAAAGTCTTAGGCAGATGTCTGGAATTATTAAGCAATCCGGTTAATCGACCTGCAGTAATAGCCTTTTTAAAGTCGGCAGCACCTCTGGTAGGTCATCAAGTGAAATCTTATTGGGATGAAAAACTGCACGAACTTTGGCAGGAATTTTTACATGGTAGAAGAAACTCTCGACAAAGCTCTAAAGAAATGAAAGACGTTATGCAATGGTACTTAATACATACTTTTTATATCCAATTTTATTTATATGTATATCTATATACTGTTAATAGCTATTTTTAATTTTTTTAATTTCTAGGGATTTAATCTGGGAAAAAAAAATTGTAGAATGGTTAGAAGAAAGCGTGAAACTGGAAGGAGAATCATGGGGCACGAAGCTCGCTGACGAACTCGCTTTGAAAATAAACACACCAGGTGTAGCGCCGCTTTTGGCATCTACTTGCAATAATAACGCTCATATCACCCTGCTTGTCGAACTTGCGCGTTCTCACGGTACTACCAAAGAATTTGCGCGAGCGGTTGGTATTTGCGCCAAACGGCATTTGAGTATCGTGCTGAAATTAATGGAAGAATTTTGCACTGTCGAGGATGCCAGGAAGGCTCCTGTGAGATTGTTAGGTTTTGTGAAGGATACGAAAGCTGCCGCTACCGCTGAAGCTGCAAAAGCAGGTTTATTGCAGTCTTATGCCGAAATTGCTCAGAAAGGGGATCCGCAGGAACTTTTCCCTGTTTTCGAAAAGCATGTGTTACCGTGGACTATTAAACAGTTGCAAGAATGCAAGGAGTTGTCTACAAGGGAAGCAGGATTGTCAGTCTTGGAACAAGTAATTTAATTCAATTTTAATCTTTAGAATAATTTTATATATAAATAATTATATTACTCTGACATTGGTACTTTAGGAAGGATTGTTTTATGGTTGTGTAACTAGACTATTTAGAGACTTTTTCATATTTGTCTATAGCATTATCTTAGGAAATAATAACTGTATAGAATAATTTCTTATTGTCTTCTCTGATGAGCTTTAGATAAAATCGAGGCATATATGTGGTCTACCATGACTATCAATTTACTAGTTTTGCAATTAATTCCATATATGTCTCAATCTTAATAAAAGAATAAATAAATCTGAATGTAAACTATTACAATCGGAACGTTACATTCCGTATGTTATTATTTAGGTGACTTAAGATATCGTTTATCCTAAGTCATACATTTGATATTCCTTCCGGACTTATCCTCTTTCTTTCTGCAAGTTTTTTCTCACACACATATTAAATATATATATTTAAAATAAAATATTCTCTATTTTTTTTTATTTATAGGTGGCCAACGCTGTTCATCCCGTCAGATTGCCCGAATCTAAGGGCCTGCGTACGAAAGCTACTGCTTTAGCCACTCTATTAGGAATTTTACAGTCATCGACGGGATATAGGCCATTGAAACTCTATCCGGCGATATTGAAAGCAGCAAACTCTTTAATGTATATTTTATTTAACAATCTATTTATTTGATTTTATTACAAATTGACGTTAATATATATATATATTTTTTTTTTACATTTTTACAGACGTATACCGCCAGTACTAAATAATGAGGAAAGGCAAATTTTCCTTGGCGC